TTTTGTCTTTCTTTCTTTTCTTTCTTTCTTCTTCCTTCCTTCTTTCCCTCTCTCCTTCTTTCCTTTCTTCCTTCCTCTCTTTCTTCCTTCCTTCCTCTCTCTTCTTCTCCTTCTTAGTTTCTTTCTTTCTCTCTCTCTTTCTTTCTTTCTCCTTCCTTCCATCTCTTTCCTTCTCTCTTTTCCTCTTAGTTTTCTTTTTCCTTTTTTGTCTTTTTCTTTCTTCTTCCTTCCCTCTGTCTCCTTCTTGCCTTCCTTCCTTCCTCTCTTTTTCTCCTTCTTACTTTTTCTTTCTGTTTTCTTTCTTTCTTTCTTTCTTTCTTTCTTTCTTTCTTTCTTTCTTTCTTTCTTTCTTTCTTTCCTTTTCTTTCTTTCCTCTTCCTTCCCCCCTCCTCCTCCCCTTCATCCTCCCTCCTCCTCCTTCTCCTTCCTCCTCTTCCTCCTTCTCCTCCTCCTCCTCCTCCTACTCCTGTCCCTCCTCCTCCCTCTGCCATTTCTCGCTTTTCCCCTTGGCGTTTTGATCCGCAGTCATTGCTTTTGTCTCTCCCGTAACTTTTCTGAAACCTGATTCTTTCGGGGACACCTGGCGAAATGCATTTCCTACAGGGAGGCAGCCACGTCCGAACAAGATCTGGTGAGATGTGAAAAGTCTCTTCTCTGTCTGGTGTGCTGGTCTCTCTCTCTCTCTGTCTCTCTCTCTCTGTCTCTGTCCCCTGTCTCTCTGTCTCTCTTTGTCTCTGTGTGTCTCTGTCCACCTGTGTCTCTCTCTTTCTCTCTCTCTCCCTGTCTCAGGGAAGCGTCCATAAAATCTCAAACAAGCACCCCCTTGTGCACAGCTCAGGCCCCGGGAGGTGCAGACCCTCCCTTTAGCCTGCAGCCGCCTGCTGTAAAACGTCAACGCCGTATTTCATCCCGTCCGCCCAGTCTGCAGACTTGAGCCTTCGACGGCATCTTGAATCCGCCATGAAAAACGTGTGTGGTCGAAAAAGTTCCTGCCTAGAGATTTCTCAAACACGATCCTTCAAGCAAATAGTAGGTGTTTCTTGCCTCTGCGTTTAAAGGGAAGTACAGGGAAAGAACTGAAGCTCTGGGTAAGAGAACGGCGAGGGCTGCAGGTGCGAGGGGCGAGGTCAGCACTTGGAGTTGAAGTTGGACTTTTACAGACACATGATCTGTTTTACCTCGTCAGAAACTCTCAGGAAAAGTGGGGCCTTGGACAGGCAGGGACGTGTCTCGTGACTTCAACGTGCTGGATTTCAAAGCCGTTCGCCGGCCACGGCCGTTACAATTCAGGCTTCGGTTGAACCAGGGCCTTTGAGTTTTTTCTCTGAGGCTGAGGGGCCTTGAATGACCCCAGCTCCTGACTCTGCCGTCCCCATTCTCGTTCCTAGAGGCTCCAGACCCTGGTACAGCCGAGTTTCCTACGGGGCAAGGGGTGCAGGTGGCAGCCAAAGGCGGCCGGGCTGGGACGGCCCCACGGGACCCTCAGGTCTGGGCTGGCCTGGGCCCCACGGGACCCCCAGGAAGGCCTGGTCCTCGGACTGGGAGAAGACAGCTGGGCCGGGAGGAGGGAGGGGGTGTGGTAGCGAGAGAGAGAGCAGCTGTGAGGGGTTTTACCGCACAGTCCCTGGGGACCCGGTCTCCCAGCAGAGGAAGAGATGGGGAGGCCGTCAGAACAGTGACCCGGCCTCAGAGAACCCCAGAAAGTTGTTCTAACCCAGAGATCCGTCTCTGACTCTGTCTGTCTCTGTCTCTCTCCCTCTTTCTCTCCCCCTCCCTGTCCCCCTCTCTGTGTCTCGGCCTCTCTCTGTGTCTGTGTCCCGTGTCTCTCTGGTCTCTCTGTCTCTCTGTCTCTTTCTCTCTCTCTCTATCTCCCTGTCTCTCCCTTTTTGTCTCTCTCTGTGTCTCGGCCTCTCTCTGTGTCTGTGTCCCCGTCGTCTCTCTGGCCTCTCTGTCTCTCTCTCTCTTTCTCTCTCTCTATCTCCCTGTCTCTCCCTTTTTGTCTCTCTGTGTCTCCCTGTCTCTGTCTGTCTCTCCATCTCTCTCTCTGTTTGTCTATATTTTTCTCTTTCCATCTCTCTCTGTCTCTCCCTGTCTGTCTCTCTCTTTCCCTTTCTCTCTCTTTCTCTCCCTGTCTGTCTCTCTCTCCATCTCCCCATCTCTCCCTTTCTCTCTCTCTCTGTGTCTCCCTGTCTCTGTGTCTCTCTCCATCTCTCTCTCTCTGTCTCTCTCTGTCTCTCCCTGTCTCTCCCTGTCTCTCCCTGTCTCTCCCTGTCTGTCTCTGTCTTACCCCCCCCACCCCACCATCACTCGAGTCCCCCACGGCTCTGCCATCTCCCACAAGCACAGGGCTTGAGTGTCCTCCTGGGTCCCCAGGGCCTGCTGGGGAGGAAGACGAGCCCTGGGGTCATGGGAGGAAGGGGAGCTGGGAAAGGGGCTCCTCCCGGGGCACGAACCGGCCTCCTGCTGCCAACCCCACGCCCCTGCTCTCACCCTCCCGGCCTCTTCCCTCCGACGACTACCCGGCGAGGCGCCTTTTTGCATAATACATGGAACTATTTGTAATTCTCTGTGATATCTCCAGGCCCCGCTTTGATGGGAGGGCGCGGTGACAAAGCCGTGTTTGTTGAGCTTCCAGGAGCTTCTCTGCCTTCGGTTTTGAAGTCTGGGGAGGTGGCAGCTCCCGAATGATGGGGACCAGCCGGTGAGGGCGCGGGAGGCAGAGTGACCCGGGACACGGGCAGAGGCACCGGCTGCCAGGGCTGGGCTCCCGGGAGGAGAAGGGGGAAGGAGGGGAGAGGCAGAAAAACGGGGGAGGCAGACGGAAGGGGAGGTAGGTGGAGGCAGAGAGGGCAGGAGGAAGAGGGAGAGGGAGAAACAGGGGGAGGAGAAAGAGGCAGAGACTGAGCAAGTGAGGGAGGGGGAGAGAGAAAGAGAGGAAGAAGGAAAGAGGGAGATGGAGGGGGAGAAAGATGCAGGGGAAGAGGGAAAGGAGGGAGGAAAAGAGAGAGAGGGAGGGAGGAGGGAAACGGGTAAAGAGGAAGGAGACAGGGTGTGGGAAGGAGAGAGACAGGGGCAGATAGAAGGCCTGGGGGCCGGGGGTCTCTGGGAGGGAGGGAGGGACAGAGGGAGGGAAGGAAGAAGGAAAGAATACAGGGTTAGGGAGGCAAGTGTGAGGAAGTAACGGAGGAAGAGAGGGAGGGAGGGAAGAAGGAAAGAAGGAAGGAAGGAAGGAGAAGGAAGGAAGGAAAGAAGGAAGGAAAGAAGAAAGGAAGGAAGGAGAAAGAAGGAAAGGGAAGGAAGGAAAGGGAAGGAAGGAAAAAGAGAGAGGGGGAGAAAGGAGAGGCAGGAGAAAGTAGAGAGGAAGAAAGACAAAAGAGGAAGGGAAAGGAGGAGGAAGGAAGGAGGGAGGGAGGAAGGGAGGGATGGAGGGAAGGAAGGAAAAGGAGAGAAGGGAGGAGGGGGGAGGGAGAGAAGGAAGGAAGGGAGGGAGGGAAGGAGGGAAGGAAGGAAGGAGGGGGAGAGAAGGAAGAGAAGGAAGGAAGGAAGAAGCCAAGCGAGGGAAGGAGGCCCCTCAGCGCCTCCCCCCTCCCCTCAGCCCGTGAACCCCCAACGTGAACCTGACTGGGGCTGCTGGGGGCCGTTCCCTGCGCCCCGGTGTCCGGGAAAACGTCTCACATTCTTTCCGCTGAACGAGACCAGGGCCCGGCTCCCGAGCGCAAAAACCCTGGGCGCCTTCGAGGCTGGGCGGTCCCCGGAATCTCCCTCAAAAAACGATTACGGGAACCTGTCCCCAAAATCACACCTCCCTTAGGAGGCTCCCCAACTCCAAACGCGATGGGAGAAGGAAAGTGAGGGCATGTGAGAGAAAGAGAAAGAAGAGAAAGAGAAAGAATAGAAAGAGAAGAAAGAAAGAAGGAAAGAAAGGAAGGAAAGAAGGAAGGAAGGAAGGAAGGAAGGAAGAAAGAAAGAAAGAAACAAAGAAAGAAAGAAAGAAAAGAAAAGAAAGAAAAGGAAAGAAAAGGAAACAAGGAAGGAAAGAAGGAAGGAAGGAAGGAAAGAAAAAGAAAGAAAGAAAGAAAGAAAGAAAGAAAGAAAGAAAGAAAGAAA